CTAAAAATTGAAAATTGGGATTATTTCAGGGACGCACGGAAGACGCTGTGAAGCTCCGATGGAAGGCGTTGAACCCGAACCAGAAGACTTACACAAAGCTCGGCCGTCCGCGTCTTTTGAACACTGACGACGCGCCGCCAGTTTCCACCTCTCCAGTCCGACCTACAATGCCCTACACTGCCCCTGCACAACCTGTGAAGATGGACATGCCGCATCAACCAGTGCCAGTGAACAACAACGCTATGAACTCTACAACTCAAGTAAATTTGGAGCCAATTTTGACCCCTCTCGAGGACGAGACGGACGAAAAAATGAGCGAAGAAGACGTCATGATCCTGAACGAGTTTTTACGTGGCCACTCGAACAATTCGCTTGGAAACGGCAGCTTCAAGAGCCTGCTGTCCGCTACAAGTCTGCGCGACCTGGGAGATGATATTGACGCAGCCATTTTGAGGATGGAGTCGCAGTCTGGGGCACACGCGTTGACTGAAGACTCTACAGCAGCCAAGCCTCTGCCATTGGGACGTCCTCCTCATCGAGTGCTGAATAAAATGCTGAGTCTGGGAGACACGAAGAGCGCGAGTCTACGCTCGATTACGGCCGATGTCGAGCCTGATGACTCATGGATTAACGGAGGGTTAACCCGGCGTCTTAGCAGTTTGTCCGTCAACGGAGAGGGTATTTTCGAGCAGGAGCTTGTCGGCGGCAACCAGAAATTGAACTCCATGGACTCGTTTGAGCAGCAACTGGCGTCGCTGAATGACGCGGGCTCTTTGATGAGTCTGCCTCTGGATTTGGGCGACGAAAGCAAGACAGATAGCGCCGTGGCAGTGGCGTCTGCTGCGTACGATGCCGTGAATGGAACAGGCCCAGTAGGTGCTAGCTCTTCTGCTGCTACATCACATGACTCACTGCAGCGCTTGATTTTGGAGGACGAGATCCCGGTTCACGGTCTATCGAACCAGACAGCGACTACTGAAAAGAAAACAATAACGGCACAAGACTTTTACAGTAGTGCAATCCCGCACGATCAGCTATCGACAGCACATCGCTTTGAGATCTAGAGGGACCTACGGTGTAGTGTGTGCGCGAGCGGGAGTGGGTCGCACCTATCTATTCGAACAAGAACTTGCAGACCGCTTGGTTAACTCGTGTTCCTGCTGCATAAAAAAAGAGAAGAGAAACTAGTGCGTAGCTGTATTCGTTACGTCCTACAGGATTAAATGGTCTGTACGAGTAATGCTTACCTACATGCATCGTCTCGCTAGCCTGCGCATTTCGTTTTAAGCAAAAGAAATGATGATGCAGCGATTTCACCCGATTTTGTCAAAAAGTAACAACATCTAGTAATATCTTTAGAAACGCAAGCATCGACCTTGCGTTTCTAATGTGCACCACACAGCTACACAACCGCCACACAAAACAGACCCATTCCACATCAACACCGGAACCCAAGACATGCAGCTCCCCAAGCGCTTCCCGACTCTCCTGGCTCGCGCTGCCCGTCAGAACGCGCGCTCTATCGGTCCGTAACACCTGTATCTTCACCCTTCTTCTATATCTAACTCTAAATCTGCAGTTCGCCGCCAGTCTCGTTCGATTCTGGCGTTGACGCAAGTGCACTCGACTTCTGCTTCTCGTAATCTGCAGAGCGTTGCATTCCCGTCGCTCCGCTTCAGCGCTGCTGCCACATTCAGCACGCAGGCTGAAGGTCGCGTTGTGGCAATGGGCGACCGCGTATCACTGCACATGGACGGCAAGCTGTCCGGTGGTGAGTCGCTGCCGAAGACTCAGGAAGGCGCTCCACTCAAGTTCATCGTGGGCAGTGGCCAAGTCTTGCCCGGTGTGGAAGACGCTGTACAGGGCATGAAGAAGGGCGAATCCAAAACCGTGGAAATCGAGCCTGCGCAGGCCTTCGGAGCCGATAAACAGATCTTGACTGTCCCGCTTAAGGAGATGAACCTGCCCGAGAAGGAGCGCGAGATGCTCGCTGTCGGTCAAGTGTTGGAGCTTGCGGGCGGTGAACGTGCGGTCATTGTGAAGCTCACAGACGAGTCAATGGACATCGACTTGGCCCACCCGTACGCCGGCCAGTCGCTGACTGTGACGCTGGAGTTGGTGGACCACGAGCTGCACTCGGAGCTGCACGTGGACGAGCGTCTGGTGCTGCCCGAAGTCATTAAAGAGGGGGACAATGTCACTTTCCCCGTTCGTGGCGATACTATGGTCATGCACTACACTGGCAAACTCGCTAAGGACGGCAAGGTCTTCGACTCGTCACGTGACCGTGGCCAGCCCTTCCAGTTCCAGATCGGCGTCGGCCAAGTCATTCGTGGCTGGGACGAGGGCGTTATGCGCATGAGCAAGGGCATGACGGCCACGCTCAACATCCCGTCGGCCAAGGGCTACGGAGAGGCCGGCGCTGGCGGCGTTATCCCCCCTGACGCCGACCTGGTGTTCGAGGTCGAGCTGCTGGACATTGTGCGTCGCTAAGCTCGTGGAAGGATTGTTTGGAATTAATCAAGTGATTTTTTCAGTGTTCCAAATGTTTTAAACTTGTTGGTTACACGTCCGTGTTGATTAATTCATCGTCTGACTCAAGATACGACTTTAAGTCCCCGTACTTGGCCACTTGACCAATGACGATGATCGCAGGCGAGTATTTCTTGCCCTCCGTCTTCGCTGCGATGTTTTCTAGTGTTCCAAGCAGCAATACCTGGTCAGGGTTGGTACCTGAATGAATCAACGCGACCGGAGTGTCCTTGTCCTTGCCGCTTTCAATTAGATTCTCATAGATCGTTCCAATAGTGCGCGTAGCCATCAGCAACACAATAGTCTCCACATTGGCCAGTGTGGCAAAGTCCATCTCCGCCGGCTTGTGGCCTGAGATGACCACGAAGCTCGTGCTTAGTGTCTTGTGCGTAACCGGAATATTCGCAATAGCAGGCACCGCCAAAGCCGAGGAAATGCCCGGAACAACTTGAAATTTGCACTCAGCTCGGACTAGAGCGCGGATCTCCGAGTGTACACGGCCAAAGACCATGGGGTCGCCTCCTTTGAGACGGACGACGATGTGTCCAGCGCGACATTTGTCCACCAAGATGGCATCGATGTCCACCTGCTTGGCTGAGTCTTTCTTACCGCCCCGTTTGCCGACGTAGATGATCTCGCAGTCCTTGGGGATCAGTGCGTACACTTCAGGCCCTACGAGGTCGTCCACCACCACGACGGTCGCACTGGCCAGAAGTCTTCGAGCTTTAAGCGCGAGCAGCTCCGGATCGCCTGGCCCGGCGCCCACAAGGTACACCGTGCCATGGGACGCTTGTGAGCGCAGCTGACGTGTCTGTAGACGAGGGAGAACTACGTGCGACACCAACACGGAGAGCAGCGCCCCCGAGAGCGCCCCCAGAGCGAAGTCGCGCACAGGCATCCTGGTGGTCTTGACAAGGTTGGCGCAGACTGATGAAATATGTGGTGCACACTATTTAAGACATCGAAACGGTCTTGAAGACCATCACTCTCTATAGTGACGGTGGACGATTTCAATACATGTATGAAAAAAGTCACAAGATATGACAATATGAAAAAGTCACAAGATAAAGCGAGGTTTAGATAAATAAAGTGCTGGTCTCGATCAGAACGACCGGTGCTCGTGGATGGGGGTCAACGGGATGGCGTCACGCTTGAGTCTTCTCTCACGTCGACTCTGTTCGTCTACAGGCTCTGGCTGTTCCGGTGTCGGCCCGTGCTTCTTAATACGGTGGATACGCTTAAGCGTGTGCTTAAGTTCGCGTTCAAGTTGCTCCAGCTCGTGCGGAGCCAGCGTCTCGATGCCGTAGCCACTGAACAGCATGAGTTGCCGCACCTCGTCCTCCGAGTCTGCCAGTTCTTGACGGAGATCGCGGATTTCGTGCTCTAATTCCTGCACCGACTTGCCACTGCTTCTACCATCAGTATTATCTTTCGCAGTATCCTCCTCGGACGAGCGTCTCGACTGCATTTGCAGTAATTTACGCTGTCGTTTCAGTGCAAGTCTTCGTCGGAAATACAGTTGCGCCACTACAAGGCAACTCGAACCAATGCAAACTGCCAGTAGCAGTAGCAACGGCTTGTTGCCTGTCAAGGACGTGACGATCGCTTCCAACTCATCGTCTCGTGTAGGACACAGCGTCACCACGTCACTCCACGGCCCGTTTGTCTCGGTGGAGAAGAATCCCATCGGCAACAAGAACCCGAGTAGCGACTTTTCCGTGTTTTTGACCATCATTCTCACGCGAAATCCCATTTCATGCTCTAGTGGCAAGTCCGAAAACACTAAAAATGGGTCTTTTGTGACAACCCTTTTGTTCGCAGCGTTCCAAAGTGCGTCAAGGCCCCATCCTGTGACCCAAATTTGCACCTCGTACGAATACGCGTCGGCGCTCGAATCTGCCGCTAGTGTGGCTGAACGTTCGTCTTCTTCGTCTTCTAGTCGTGCGTCTTCCGCTCGAGCATGCGCAGCTAGCGGATGGTCTTCCCAAGTGACCACTACGCTGGAAATTTCCGCTGATCGAGGCTTCGTGGTCGTCAGGAAGTCCACTAGAGTCCTATGGACGCCAGCCTCGCCTTGTTCTTCCTCTGAGGCCGCCTGGTCGTCCACGTATCGTACGCGGTGTACGGATAAGTTGCGCAGCCGCAAGTCCATGGTAGAGATCGCGGACGTACGACCCCAGAGGAGCGAATCTACGGGATTCAAGTTGCTGAGGAAAGAGGAGGACGGAGCGGGGGACGGCGTGGTCAACGCCTGCAGAGCGATGGTGGACAGGAAGATGCACATAGCGTAGATCCCGAAGCCGCCCGCGATGCGCAGCGGACGGCGCTTCATTGGTCTGCTGGTGTCCGGGTGTTGCGAGGTTGAGGAATGGCGTAATGCGACCCCATCCGAAGGTCGCAGGCACGTCAAATAAGACAGCAACAAAAGCAATATATGTATTTATAGAGGTATCGGGGAAACAAGAATGTTCTGTTTGTTAGTCATGACTTTATTCAAAAATTAGATGTAGAAGGATATAATGTATTAGGAACAACGATTTGGCCACTGATGACGTCGATATAGAGGCTGAATGCTTGCTTTTGCGCGTTGGGTCTCGTTCATGTAGACGACGATACTGGTTTTGCATGGCGCAGTTTTAACGGACCGTCACCCATGAAGCTCTTTATTGCGCGGTCATTTGATATTCGGCGGTTTTGGTGGGCAGC